CGCCGAGATGTTAACGCCGTTGATAACAAGATTACTCCAGGGACGTTCATCCGCTTCAGGCGACCGCGCAATGGTACGTGACGGCTATCAGCAGCTAAACATTCGACTACTGCGTCTGCTGTCAGCGGCAATTAAAACCACCTCTGTGTGAAACTCGCTTCTTAGGCGGGCACTCTTGGCATTAGCTTACCGAACGTTCGTCGTAGTCTTTGAGGTTATGGAGTTCAGCAAACGAGCTCCTAATTGGCATTGCGGCTTCTGACTAAGGTGAGTGTATTCATGCATTCAAAGCCTCACATACCTGACCAGCAAGCCGCTCAACAGAAACATACACAGAATCATTTCGACGTCCCCTGCGCTTTAATTGAGCCGACCTTACATAGACACTGGGTGCGAAACATAGTTGCCGGCATTTGCATCAGCTCATCGACAGACTTCAGAAGCTCCCGCATAATGTGACTTGGGTAAAATGACACTAACGGCCTCGCTCGAGCCCACGCATGATTCAGATCTAAGTAAATAAGAAAAGTAGATCAGCTAAAGCAAACTGTGCATCTACGATCTCGCCTAGCACGTATATGAGCAGCCCTTCCATGGCAAGACTCCCAGCTGCGTTCTAAACTTCCAAACCCTTGCGTGTCGGTAATCACCTTCTGCCAATACCCACAACCCTGCATTATCGGAATCACCATCAACGACCGCCGTCCCCGCCAGCCAATCAGATTTCGAGCGTTCGCCCAGCCTCCCCGTGACCACCAATCAGTCACGGTGCCCAGCGTCCGCCGGCCTGCCACTCCCCCCCCCCCCCCCCCCCCCTCCTCTTTCGTGGCGCCAGACACACATCAGGCCGCATATGGCTGTCGTCGTAAAGAAAGGCACCACGAATAAATCAATTACCGACCGGTTGGAGGTGGCTGGACGGCGCATCATTACAAGGCCGAGGCCGGCGCCGGCGGCCGCCGCAGCCAGGTGCACGAGCGCTCGGCCGCTTGGGGACGAAGGGGGGGGGGGGTGCACACGGCAACCGTGTTAGCAGGGCCCGGGAAGAACGCGCGGCAGCGGCTACACAGCGATATCGATAGTTTATAGACTAGAAAGACTGCAGCATTGCTGTACTGTTGTTACTTGTAGTGACAGGTCAAATTTAGTTTTCCGGCAGGTTTTTATGTTAACAACAACTACCTTTGACGATTAATTATTTCAGGAACCTTTCCGTTAGTCGTCTTCCACACGAAGGCGTTCAATAGTATTCCTTTGCCGTCCCTCACATAGCATTCATCGGTCCCCTCACTGCCGTCCGCCACCCCTCTCCAAGTCCGTTCGGCGCTCCTCTGATTCTTTCTGTCATCCCTCTTATTCTGTCCACCGTCCCTCTCATCCTGTCCACCGTCCCTCTCATCCTCTCCACCGTTCCTCTAATCCTGTCCATCGTCACTCTCAGCCTGTCTATTGTCCCTCTCAACCTGTCCATCGTCGTTCCATCCTTACGTCCGACCCTCTCATCCCATCCGCCGTCCCTCTCATTCGTCCACCGTCCCTCTCATCCCGTCCAACGTCCCTCTCATCCCTTCCACCGTCTCTCTGATCCCATCCACTGGCCTTCTCATCCGTCCGCCGTCCCTCCCGTCTCGGGCCGCCCCGTCCGCGGTCCGGCGCAAGCGGAGAGTTTTTGCGGCGCGACTAACAAGGGGGTGGCGGCCGTCCGTGGCCCTGTCGGCCAAGGTGTGATTAGCGCGCCGCCAACACAGCCGCGCGCGCGCGCAAAAAGACGCGCCGGGCGTGCGCGCGCAAACGCCGCCCGGCTGCGGCGGCCGGTGTGCACACAACCACCGGCCGTCGCGGATCGGGCCCCCGCCGGCGCGCGGGCGGCGTCTCCGGAGACGCCGGGGAGTCAAATGCTGCCGTCGCGCCTGACGCTTCCGAGCCGCCGCCGTCGTCACGTCGGTCCGCTGGGACGGCGAGACGCCCAGCGGCCTCGACGGCCGGCTGTCGGTGGAGTGGGCGGGCGGCGGCGGCGGACTCCCCTCTCCGCTCCGGCGGGGTCGGTGACGCGTCACCAGAGGGACCGGCCGGCGGGCGCGTCGCGCGCGCCTTTACGACGCTTTACGAGGCGGAGGATGCGCCGAGGCGGCCGACGCCCGACAGATTAGCCCGTTCCGGTATTTATACGCATGAACGCAACGTCATTACGCCGCGCCGGTGATTTGTTACCTCGCGCCGGGGGGCGGGGCGCGCGAGTTATGGACGAATAAATTGCGTTAAGCCGCGCTAATGCAGGCCGAGGCTATCGGTCGGGATGCGGGCGCGGGAGGCGGCAGGATTAACGGGGGAGCGGTGAGGTCGCGTCTTCCCTCCGACGGTGTTGGGCAACGTGGCTGCTGGCAGCGGTTCTCTTGTTTTCGTCTGCAGCGAAAATAGACGTGACTGGTGTGTCGCGCGATTCCCTCGACTCCTTCCGATGCTAGAGGTGGGTGTCGGTGTGCAGCAGAGCACAACTCAGGCTAATGTTGGTGTAACCGTCGTGCATCGGTACTTCGGTGGATCCTCACGATTTATAGAAGAACTACGACATTCAACAAAGTTAACAAATTATAAGGCTGGTGCTAATATGCATGATACGGCCTAACCAAAGCCCCATAATAACGCAATAACCTTGCACTGGTGGGATGGCCTAACTGGCCCTAACGACAGTGAAACATGCTGTGCTGGATCTGACATGAGCCCTGTGGGAAAACCAAACTTGCGGCTGATCTAACATTTCTGATCTCCACCCCACTATGAAATATTCGCCATCACCTCGTCTTAATTAAATTTCCCACCGCCGCCCTGCCATTAACTTTCATGAAGGGTCCGTATTGCCCAGCACACCGCGTCTACCCAACGATGTAGTCCCGCCTGCACCGACCGCGTGCCGCCCACGTACCCTGAGCTTGTACGGATGAACAGCCGGACAGACAGGCCGCCCGGTGGGAGCTTGGTGGCCGCAGGACGGCCGGGGGTGCCGCACCGGCAGCTGCTGCGGCTGTCCATCGAGACCCGACCCCGAGATCAGCTCACATCTCGTGCCCGGCCGGCGCCCCATCTGTCCCGATCTCGGCCAGTTCGCCGGTCCCTGTGATCTGCTCCGGCGGCCGGCCGTGCCTCCTCCGCCGCTGACCGAGAGACGGAGCCGCCGCCTGCCGCCGAGCGGCCCGCCTGTCAGCGCCGGCTAACGATAATGATAATGGACTTTCACCTGAGGGTCAACGCATTAAATCACCGGCTGGCGGCAAACAAATTCCGTCCCGGTTCTCGGCGGCCTAATGGCGCCGATTACCCACTGCGCCCCGGCGGAGGACCGTGCGGGTCGGGCCTGGCCCGCGGACCCGGCCGCGGCTAATGTGATTAAGCCCGCGTGGCGCGCTGCCGGCAGGTGCCGCACTGTATTTATCGCGAGAACCGGGAAAACAGCCGATTTCCCCAGGCCGATTGGATAACTGCTCTATTAGAGGTCCCGGGATGCGACCGCGGCAGCGAGACACGGTGTCCGGGGATGAGAGCCGAGGTGGAGCCCGGGAGGAGAGCCGAGGTGGAGCCTGGGAGGAGGGCCGAGGTGGGGCCCGGGAGGGGAGCCGAGGTGGAGCCTGGGAGGAGAGCTACCGTGGTGAGCGGGGACGTGGGTGAGGCCAAGGGCAGCGCCGCAGTTGAGGTAGGGGAGGTAAGGCGTGGTGCGCATGTGAAACAGCTGCAGGAGGTACAGCTGCGGGGAGACAGCGGTGCAGGCCAGGCAGGCGCGCAGGTCAGCTGGCGACCTTGACCTTCCCGTTCGCCAGTGCAGCTCGGTCGTCGTCCCGCGATCGTGTCCGACGCTGATCTGATCTGACCTGATCTGATCTGATCTGATCTGACCTGCTCTAACGAGATGCTGAGATGGTGCCTATGAGGCTTCAAAGTGAACGCTTCGAGTTTCGGCCTGATCGATTGAGTCCCGGTTGAGAGATGCAAAAACGAAGTCCGTGGTGATCAATCACATAAAAGTTTCTCTTTAGCAGACGGAAATTATCCCTCACAGCCAACATGGGATATGTTGTTTTTGATTAACCACTGACCACTTAAAATCGTTTATTCTTGCTTCACCAACAGTCTCCCTTTCACAGCCTGAGGGCAATGAATGTGATTGGATGTCATCAAAAGTTAAAGAAGCTATCCATTGACTTGTGCAGCGTCTTTGAAACATAGTCCACGGCCAATCTCTTCATCATGGTCTCATATCTCCGAAAATAATTGCATGTGCGTCAGCGATTTCAACCTGTCCCTTTTATTTTCATAGATTGGCAGCACACTTTGATTGCTCGGTGATTGGAGTTCCAGCTACCGCGGCGGATCCGGACCGTATCGGAGTCCGTGTCCGACGAGTCGCCGACTGGTATCGAAGTTGAGATTGGCGGTACCCGTCGGAAGTGCGCTCCACCGGCACCATAACCTCGCACCACGAACCATTTTTGGAACGAATTCGCTTCCGCCCGAAGTCCCGCCGCGACGTCCAATGCGGCGTAACGAATCGATGGAGCTATCATCGACAGCTATGTCATGAATCAATCTACGGACAGCTCTGATGGCACCCGTCTCATCGTCGAAAGTGGTTCTGATCAAAGTGTGTTACTCCCCATCACAACATCCTACCAGCATCGCAACTGAAGTGGAAAATAACGCTAGACGACAGGTGACGTTCGTCATTGCTACTCCCATACACATGCGTAAAAAAACGTGGGGCGAGCCCAGTGTGGTCACGAGGGGTGTAGGACGGACGGGAACAGCGACGCTAGAACACAGCTGTAACTGCGGTGTCGGGCGGAACAGTATCGCGCCGCGGGCCACCACTAGATACGCGTGCACGATCGCAACAATGCAGCATCCCACCAGCGCAACACCGCTCAAGTAAGAGACACATCGACTGAGGTGGGCCAAGCCACCGCCAAATCGCGTGCGAGCGGCGAGTTTGTTGGAACGGACGGACTCACAGTTTTTGCAGGTTTCCCATGCTGGACAGGAGCTCCTCTGGAAGGTGACGTATGTGGTTGTTGTGAAGACGCCTGTAACACGGCCCGTTTTCAGACGCTGCACATGCCATCAAACAGGCGTCCCAGCCCTCCTCAGACAAAAACGGCGCCAACGCGCCCGGAGCCGGTCTATGGACGGGCGCCAGGGACCACGGCACAAAAAGGCCCCTGGCGGTGCCGCCTGGGGGGGGGGGGGGGCGGGGGACGCATCGATCCTCCCCGCTCCCTGCTCGTGTGACCCATGCTGCCCGGCCTGTCGCTCCTCTGACCCACGACGGCACATCCGCGTCCGATAGGTCCGATACAGCCGGCACCAGCTGATGGCGTCCACACTCGCCGGAGCATGAGCCGCCGCGTGCAGCTGCCGTGTGACGCCCCAGGGGGCGGGGCGAGCTCTCGCGGAATGTCAACAGGGGCGGGACACGCCGCCCGCCGGTGTCTAGACGACCGAGATTACGGCGCGACGCCGAGAAGCTGGCGCCGGCGCCGTCAAGGTGTGGCACCGGGCTCGGTGCCGACCGCGGATCAATGATCACACGGCAAGGTCACGACCTTGACGAACCGGCCGCTTTCGGCAATGTGTTTGGCGCTTGCGACGGTCGGCTGACGTGCCGTTTAAGGATTACTGAGCGATGGCCACACCTTACTACAGCAAGGGCTTTAGGAACGAGTTAACTTGTTAACAGAGGATGGCATATGGGCATTCCAGTGGCTCAGTGGACGTCGGGGCCACTCAGGCTCGTCCCGAGATTGCTAGGAGAAATTTGCATGCAACCGACTGTGTTCATATAAAGGCAGCGCAGTAGCGTGAAATTGGCATACAGTAATGTCAGATAGCATGGACTGCACATGCTAAAGGCGCTGTCATGTATCTACCGTCATGTATTTATCTCAGAGTCGGCTACAATTTGAGATTTGTGTCAGAGCAAAAAAAAATCGCATGTGTTGGGTTTCAGATGTAAGAACACAACTTTGACCAAGCTTTTAACAAAGGTTATTCAGACGTACTTTTTGCGTAAATCATAGTTCTATGGCATCTGAGCATTGTCGTTAAAACGTGTTCAGCACAGACTTGGTTGCCATCCTGCGCCAAAACGATCGCAGCTTTTGCCTCTGAAGCTGAGCAAGCTCCGTTCAATCGGAAGTCATCTATCTTGATCAAACAGACACCAGCTTTGTCGGCACCCGTTCTTCTTCCCGGGAGCTAACGGGACATCCGCTCCAGCCGCGAAATTCACGACAAACTTTGGCTTGACAAAAGATTGCCATAAAGACACGCGCCTGGCTAAAAATGCGCCCGTAAATCAAGGGTGGGTTCTATGCAAAACCGAAACATGCTGTAATTGTATGCTGAGTAGAATTATGGACATGCTGTTTCAACAAAACATGTGTTGTTTGATTAAAATAAAAACAAGAGTTTTTTCAAACATATAGCATTTGACTAATTGCAGAGCATTCCCAGCCGTTCAAGTGATGGGTTTTAAATAGAAGTTTTCTCTCCGAAAGGTTCTTTGTTTTGACCAAGAACCTGCCGCCATAGCGATTTTCAAGCAGACAAATTGTTTTGCGGGCATTGAACCATGTAGCATTGCGCTGGTTTGCACATGACAGGCCTGCTTCAGGCACAGGGCGTTTCCATCACGTTGTCTGGATGAAATCGGCACTCTTAACAACACGTCAAAGGAGCGGCGAGCAATGACTGCTGGTGCACCGGAATTCATCCCACCTTTGCAGCCTTTGATATCATGGACGTGACAGACACAACGCCGCGCAGACAAATAGCCCTCCTCCAGACATAACCTGTCAGCGAGGGGTAATGTTTGAACAAGCCACCGCCTGAGCGGTTCAGCAAGAAGGTCAACGTGGGTGTTGACCCCGGCAGACCCCTGTGACCCCGTGGGAAATTTCAGCCACCACTTACAGTTATAACCACAGTACCGGCAGCAGCCCCCGATCAAAGGCCACGCCCATCCCAGCGGCGTTATGAGCCTATCTAGCACGGCCACTGCAAAACAGGCGCTCGCCATGTCCCCAGAACAAATGGCTAGGTTGGTGACGTCTGTTCTGAAAAAGTTGTCGCTCAAACTGACGTAGCGTGATCGCTTGGTTGTGCATGTATGTAAAATATTGCGTTCTTCCAGCCACGGAATTTAAATCCTGTGATATCACCACACGTCAGGCAGCAGCGCATGCCTACCCAATCCTCAAGTCAAACCATATACGAAAGTAGCACGGCTTTTTAGGAATCGCTCGTCCTTATCGCCCCATGGCATTTGAAGTTGTTTGGCGCCCACGTGTCGTGCTCTGCCGGAAGGCTCATAGCCACACCAGCGGAAAATGAGTGGTGTGAAGCGGACACCTTCGCCGCCATAAATTTGTGTCATGGATCACACCTCGTTGCACTGCGCACGTCTTAATCTCGGAACGCTCAGGATAGTCTTTCAGCGATCGCTCTAATAAAGCAAACGGCCAAAGTGCATGCAAACATCTTGCAGGTCCACGAGTTCCGCAGAAAAGATATGGTTACATTTTCACCGCAACGCTTTAAGTATTAGCAATACATGACTTGTCACGGCTACCGCATTAGAGTATTTGTCACGTGACCGAACTCCTTTTCGGGATGCGTATTCTCTGAGCTGTCAGGTTGTTCTGGCGAGCGCTGTCTACCGTTGGGCGTATCTGATTGGACCAGAGGATGATCCTTGTCGGCACCACGGTAAGTAGCAGATTACTTTTAGCCACTTGTCCGTGGTGCACAACAATTTACCGCATATAAACCCCAGACGGGACTCCTAGCCGCTAGTGACAGCTTGTACGCAAAGAAAACCATGCAATTTATTGTTTTTACAGAAGTATTGCCTGGTATTGGATTGAATCTGTGCTGCTCGCATGAGTACGAATGGTAATCGAAATCTGTCTTCGGGAATTTTAAGTTCTATCCATGGCAGTTGGTCAGGTATTGTTCTCAACCTCTCCATTGCAAATACAAAACCCAGCGCTGGAGTCAACACGGTTTTTGCTTACAAACGAGGCAAAAGGAAAATACTTCTTTTGTTGGACCCGACTCAGTCGTCCACTTGGATAGCAGAGGAAGCCGCACAAGCTGCTTTGATAGTTTATCTACAATAATTAGACGCGAGAAGCACTCTCCGAGCGTGAGCCGGTCCTCAGTTTTGACCCCTGGGGCAAGCGGAACGAGTCTTAGAACGTCCCTGACGGACGAGTGACGACTCTCACCCACCCGTTACATTGCGCCACACGGAGAGTGCGGCAAATGTGGCGCGGTCGGGGTGGCAGATCACAATTAGCTGCAGCAAAGCCGCCGTGCCGGGTGGGACGCGCCGCGCACCCGCCGCCTCTTATCAGCATGTATCGGTATCGCCAGCGACGGGCTAAGGCTATTACGACCGTAACGAGATTTAGCCATTAGCCGGAGTGGAGGTGACTCTCGCTGGCCGCTCCGCCTGTCCGGGTAAGTGGGCGGACAGCGACCCCGGACCCGTACTCACAGCTTCTCCAGTCGCGTTGCGTCGGCGAACGACGAGTCCTCTATCAGGTGGATGTCGTTGTGCGCCAGATTTCTGAAACAGAATGCTTGATTTATGGAAGTGCGCATGGTGGCTGGCTTTAATCGCGTCGCTTGGCTCCATTCGCCTAACGGGGAGCGACGCAGATTGCGGGCTTGGCAAAAACTGAGGTTCGATCCCTTCATCGATAATTCTATCACACCCATTGAATTTCTTCACTAATGAGTCGGACAGGTTCCGTCACAAAAACTGCGCTGGTCTATTCAGCGGGGGGACGTCAGCAAGGAAATTTCCCCGCGGCCGTACGGCACATCCCCGATTCAGTCCGATACCAGCCGGTTTCGGTTCAAGCTTGCTGCTCCTGATCCAGCCGAGACCAACATTCAGGTGTCAGCTATGCCTGAGACGTCCTTTCGTATGGTAATGTGTGCCGCCCGCCTCTGGTCGTTGTGTCCGGCCCCGCCGGTCCGTCCGGCAGTGCCGTTGGTCGAGCTCCGAAAACACCCCGCTCCCAGGCGTCAGGCACGGGCGTTCCGCGAACTTCCCGCACTCCCCGAGATATCGTATCGCGTTGGAGTCACTCCCGGTCGAGAACGTTCCTGTGTCAGCGCTGTTCTCGCCATGTCGGAGACATTTCCAATTAAACGCGCTCCAGAGTATTTCCGGAGGCGTTGTTGCGTAGGTCCCCTGGGGCCGGACCGCTGCAGGCATCGTTTCCAGGTATTTTGTGGACGCTCCGGGACGGTCTCAAGCGACGTCATCGCGGACCCTCGCCGATACACCACCGACGTCCCCCTGCCGGCGTCTCTCGGTCCGTCGCCGAGCCCGCCCGGGGAACAATGCGGAGAGGGCGGGCGGCGCCGGCAGACCAGCCCGCTCCACCCCGCCCGCACCACCGCGGCCAGCCCGAACACGAGCCCACGCCCGCGCCGCATCGCGCGCCTTTGAATAATCGCACCCCCGTGACAGCACAGCGCCTGCAAATTGAGCTAATTGCGCTCTCCTGCGGCCGGCGTGCGGCGGCGGCCACCGCCGCTGCAGCTTGGCCAGCCGGCGGCGCGACATCCTCAGGCGACGGCGACAGGACGGGGCGGCGCACAAAGGCGGCGCGGCGGCGGCGCTGCTGGTGCGTCGTCCCGCGTCCGGCCATGTGGCGTGGCTGCGAGATGCGGGACGGCGCAGGTCCAGCAGCGTCATGCTGAGCTGAGGGCCCGAGGGGCGACGCAGCACTCCGCGCAGGAGCCGGAGTCAGCAGAGCGGGCTGGGTGCCCGGCGAGCTCAGCTGAACGTATGGAGAGCAGATGCATGGTCTTTTGTTGAGAATTTGGGAACAAGATTCCGCTGGCAGTCTCTTGTTTGTGATTCTACGTCCGACGTCTTTCACCAGCAAGAGAACTTCGGTGACAATCCAAACTTAGTATTGAAGGCTCTCAAAACCGCGAGAAAAAATCGAGAACGACATTAAATTAGATCAGTCGTCATCAGATCCCTTCATCAGCGCCAAACAAGTTTACGATGCTGTGCATCTGCTGACAACTGCAGGTAAAAACAACGCTCGCTGTCTGCGCAAAGTGCGCTGACGCGCCAGGGGACGCCGACCATCCGTGACCGCAAGGGCGGGGTCCCCCCCAAGCCTCCAGGGGACAGCGAGCTGCCGAAGCCGCCAGGAGATAGCGACCTACTGCTGCCGCCAGGGGCCGCCGACCCTTTTTTTACCACTTGGGGCGAGACTTTCCGAAGTCACCACGATACAGCGGCCTATCGAAGCCGTTAGGGGCCGCCGACCCTTTTTAACCACCAGCGGCGAAACCTCCCAGTCACCGCGATACAGCGGGCTACTGCAGCCGCCAGGGGACGGCGACCTACTGCAGCCGCCAGGGGACGGCGACCTACTGAAGCCACCAGGGGACCGCAACCCTCCGGGCCGGCGACCTGCTAACGATTGAACGACGCGCATATCTGATTGGACGGCTAATGCGCCGGGCGGACCACGCTCCGTCGGTCGAAGGTCCACGCGCCACCGAGTCGGTGGCCCACAACCGCAGGGGGCGGGAGCCGGTGAGCCACAGACGACCGCCGGAAACGCGGTCACCTGCAGGCGTACGTGACGGTGGGTGACCTGACCCACACTCCAGGCGGCTAGCGGCTCCACGCGAGTGAGGCAGGCGGCCTGTGCGCAGCATGGTGACCGACTAACGCAAGGGAACTGGGGAGACTGATATATGCAGCCTGAAAACTAACATGCTGGGTGAGGAAAGGCCATACACTTTGAGTTAGCGATTTGTACACTTTCATATAATGAACAACTGATGATGAACAACCTAAAGGTTTCACAGCTGATATCCATTATACGTCAAATGTTTGAGGGTGGATGACCCACACAACGCAAGGCAGAAGAGTCAATAGACTAGGAAGGACGTCTTACATCTGCACACCAGTAAATTAGTGGCACACTTCTCTCATCAAGGTAAATGGTCCTAGGACAAATGCAAGCGAGCACAGGCAAACGAACCAGCAACCGAGCAAAATAATCCACATTTATTCGAACTCATTTTCCGGATGCGTTCGGCAGCTCACGCACGCGTCCAGCCACACACCCTCTCATGGAGGGGAGAAAGTCCAGGAAGCGCCGAGTCAGACGGCCGAACCGAACGGAGCGCGTCATCCGGGAGGCGTTCCCACCGTCCGAAGAGAAAGGTCAGCCATCCCGTAAAAGCAGACCCGACGCCGACCCTTGTCAGGTGGTGGGCCAGTCGGCGCCGCTGTCGCCACCGGCGCCGCTGGAACCGGACCTGGAGAGGTGGTGCTGAACCCTCCTGGGATCGGTACACCCGTGCCCGACGCCGATACTCGGCACGAATCGTCGATCGATTACGTTACCATGCGTGGAACTGATTTGAGTAGGCTGCCGAGAGAAAAGACCTTTAAGTAGGTATAATGTAATTTTGGTAAGGCAGCCGTTCCAAACAACAAAACTTCTCAAGAACATCGAGATGCTCAGCCCGGCTTTTAACCAGAGACAAAGTTCCTGCTTATCTGACCACGAGCCCCGCAATTCCCCTAAGGCTGGCCGCAGCATGAGAAGCGCGGTGACTTCGCGTATGACGAGGCTTCCCGGTTTGACTCTCACCAAAGAGCGTCTCAACGGAGCCCGCCCTCGCGGCCCGCACAAGCCCCCTCCGTCGTCGTCTCACGCACACAGAGAGCCGGCGCTGCCGTCAGCATGCCGGCGGCGCCGCCGTAATTCAATCGGTCTCCTTTCACGTGTGCGCGCGCGGACCGGCGCGCAGTGGCGCTCGTGCCGCCGCATCGCTCCGCCCCATCCCAGTGTGAGTTACGGACTGCGCCCGGGGCCGCGGCACGGACCGTGTCGGTGACAGCGTGACGGCCCCCGGCGGGCGGCGCCGGAGACGCGGCGTCGGAGGTGTGCCGGAGATTGCGACAGGCCGTGCAGGCTGCTGCTCCCGGATAGCTTTGCTGGGCCGGGCTGGAGGTGGATTACCGGCTTGTGAGGCGAAAGCTTTGCCGTGTTGTTGATGCGCTGTTTGCTCCCGTGGCGACTTCAAAGGGCTTCAAGCTCGGGTTGAACTGGAAATGTTCTGATGACGTCGGCGGGATTGGAAATCAAAAAGACATGTCGACATGGAGGCTAAATTTTTCTGCGGATACAGAAAGAGGTGTGCCCCGCACCACAACAGGGTCTCAGCAGGCTCTCCAGCGGCAGAGATCGGCTTCTCCCGGCGCATTCCACCGGAGCGGCCGCGGCCTTCCCAGCCGCTAGATGGCGTCACCAGTGGCCCGGCCCCGGGAGGCCGCTCCAGATGAAAGGCCGGCCGACCGACAGGTGGGTCCAATCGCAGGAAGCAGGAGATTTGGGGGCGGGCCCGAACAAAGCCGCATCGGAAGGAATGTGGCAATGGCGGATCATCTCCTGGCACCACCAGCTTTCGAGACCTTCGTGAGATAAACTTCGGATTCACCGACTTCAACGTTCCTCCGCCTGTTCGCGACCATAAAGCTGCCACTGTGCACGCGGCTCCCCCCCCCCCCCCCCCCTCCTCCCTCTACTTCTCTCAGCCGACGGCCTGGGGGCGCCCATGGCGCAAGGCCGGACGAATTTGACAGGCATTGAGGCGCGCAGAGGCCGCGTGGCGCGGGATAATCCGGCAGGCATGCAGAGCTCGTCGCCGTCCATTATGCGCCGTCCGATATCGACGGACCGCGAGACACGCAGCGCGCCAGAATAAATAGCCGATCCATTATACAGTTTAATGAAGCCGCGCTTGGATCGAGGCCGGCCTGCGGATGATGAATTCCGCTGCCCCGCGGCGGCGGCGCTCGTCGGTTCGACGCCGCCGGCGCCGCGCCCCGTCGACGCCGGCGAAGTAAAAACTCCCGCTGTTTACCCGCCGGCGGGGGTCTGTTTGGCGGCCGCGTCGGGACCGACGGCCGTCGCCGCTGACGAGGCGCACGTGCCGGCGGCGGCGCGAACCGACGCGGCCCTGGTGGCGGCAGGTCGCAGAATTCGCGCTAACCGGGTCTGACGGCGCGCGGAGGACGCGGTTTTCACGGGCTGGTTCGGTCCATCGTCGTCAGATGCGCCGCTGCGTGCTGATGCGTGTGGCTCGGGCTCCTGACAACGCTGACGCACCGCGCCGCGGCAGACACACCGCCTCCAGGAGCAAGTGATCTGACGTAGAGCATAAGTCGGGTGACGTCTGTGGGATTTGTGCTGGCACAAGCCTGACTTAAGCTGACGGAAGCTGGATCTGAATTAACTCATACCAGACACATAGTGCCTGGCACGGAATGCGCACGGCATACCGGCGATGCCGAAAAGGCGGATGACTACGTCCCTGCAGAATTCTAATGCTAATGTGCCAGAATACAAAATCGAATATCACCGTGATGATTAATGGACACTGACGTTTCATTCAAGTATAAATTACCAACGTAGGCTCACACATATAGACACATATATGCATATATGTGCATATATATATATATATATATATATATATATATATATATGAGGTTATGTTTGTGAACTATGTTTTGATGAAACGCCAGTGTCCATTAATTATCACTCTGATATGATGTGTTTCCTAGGAATGGCCTTCTCGACAGTCATAGCCTGATCTTGACCTGCCATGTGTGTGTGTTTGTATGCATATAACGGACATATATAATACATATATCGGACAAAATATCTTGTAAGCAGTCAGTCGTGTGTTTCTCGACAACGGATAATCGTGTTTGTGATTTATTGGATCTACTTGGAACGTAAAACCTTATCAGTGATTAAGGGCCTGCTAGGCGAAATGGCGCTTTGAAGTGTCATGTCACATAAGCTTGAGCGTTCTGGTTGCTTTATCGCTTATTGCAAGATGTTCTGTGTTGTTTAACTTCAACTACCACGTCAGTGCGAAGCTAAACTGGAACGCCTTCTGCGTGCACTTAACGAGACTACGGTTGGAGGTGTGGTAATTCTGCGAAAGTTTGGAGGTGTGGTAGATAGCGTGTGAGTCGCATGAGGCTCTTAAATTGAACTTAGAGTGATCAAAACCACACGGTTGGGTTGGGGGATCGATTTTCCTTCGTCCGCCTTCCCCGCGCTAACCTTTTCATAATGGCTTCCGAACGGCGCGGCGTAGCCAAATTTTGATTAGCTGAAGACAATTTAATAGCAAGTCTTTTGATGCATAAAAATTCGTTTCATAGTTTCCCTAGCCTACGGCAGGTCAAGGCCAGGTCATGACTGTCCAAAAGGCAATTCCTCGGAAACCGTTGAATCTGGTGCGATGACGGCGTGTTCGATAAATCATTATATCTTTGAGATGGTTTTGTGCACAATCATACTATTGAGTTCCTGATAAAGAATAATTCCATGGACCTGCGGTCAGGCGTGAAATTCAAACCGAAGTCAAAACCAACCTGGTCGTTTACAGAAAATGTTCTAAAGCGGACAGTTTTTGACGCTTATTTTGAATTTTTTGATCACAGGGACGTCAACAAACATCTAATTGGGATTTCATGAAGGTTAGAAGAGGTCACTGATAGAAGATGACCTCGTTTAACCTTTTATTGTAAGGAACACACCTACTAGCGTGATCATTGGCGCTTATTTGATTTTTTTAAAATCAAACAATGTCGCACTGTTGATTACCGTGATCTTTTGAGCGCCAAATAAGTCCACTGGCCTGAAGCGAATACCAATAACCGATTGTTTACAAGAGATATATAAGAATGATGGGTGTTTGTCTATCAGGAGGTCTGGGGGCACTTGAGATGCCGGTTAGAGTATGATCTTGTTCGGCCCTATAGCATGATATAGCATGATATAGCATGATATAGCCTGATGATATAGCGTGATAGCATAACATATTGACCTGAATAGCATGGCACACGAACGCCAACACTGGCAAAAGGGAGTTCGCATACAGCCTGTAAATTTGGTTTCTTTAGCTCTCTTATTTCTCGAGATCTCGGCACGGCCGCAATGGCCACGCACCCATACGAGCGCGGTGCATTGAACCGGCTGGCCGGGCGCGTGGAAATGGATGCCATAATGTTTTACTAAGCCAAAGTGCAACAACTCACAAAATACCTATATATATATATATATATATATATATATATATATATATATATATATATGTATGTATGTATGTATGTATACGGCGGCGTTGCACGCTCGTCATGCGTCACGAACGTGCGCATCCGGCGCAATCTGAGAACTTCAGATGCCCCGCGCTTACGTCTGTGTATCCTGACGTACGCGCTTTTAGGTCCCACTCGCGTCAGTCGGGGCGCACCATCACGGTAAAAGTTTCGATTTTTCCCTACAAGCCATCCAAGTGTTAACGTAGCCCCTTCTGTCGGCTAAGACTTGGCACATATTGGTAAATGAGCAATGAGCTGCGTATCGAACAAAGTACGGCTCCGGGGATTTGGAGGTTCAACCTTATCGTGTAATTAAGTTGTGATACAAAACTTTTCAATTAGCAGAATCGTTCTAAATATAGATAATCCATTACATCCACATGGGCATGCAAGCTTATGAACTCATATACCACGCACCGAAACATATGCATGTTGTTCACAGTCAAACCGGTTTATGGAGAAAAAAAACTTCATGGAAATGGTTGACGTCTGACGAAATGTAATAAGTGCGCAGCCTGCCTGGGGCAACGAGTGAAATGCTCGGCCAGGGTTGGTCTGGACCATATGCCTAGCTTGAGCTGTATTTAATAGCGTGTGGCTTCGGGGGGTTGCTATCTTGGGCGCCGACTAAGATGGTTCTGAATACAGATTGACGGGTATATCTAGACTGGCTTGAATCTGGGGCGACGGCTTGTGGTCACACTGGGACAGTGTCAGTCCGATTCAATAGTGCAGCCGTTATTCTTGCTCAACAGCACGTCCCATTCAAACGGGCAGGGGCATTACAGATCTGTCAAAGGCGGGTATTTGGGCGAGGTGAACGCACAAATGAAAGACAGGACGCGTAGGCCAGACAGCACGACAGAGCCGACAGAAAGCTGGAGCGATATTGGCACGAACTGACCCCAGAGGCGGCTGGAGAAAAGCGAGGGCAAACTCCAGACATTTCCAACGACTCGCCCTGCGGCCATTACGATGATGTGCAGACGCCTCCTGTCGCCATCTGAGATGACGTCACGCCCCCGGCGCCAGCTGTCCGGCCAACTGACGTGTGACGTCAGTCATGCGTGACGTCAGGGGCACCTACTCGCTTATTTGGCCGTATTATTGGGTCGGGACGCGTCAATGATTACCGTCAGCCAGTGATCTCAGTGATAGAAGGTAGGCGGGCCCGCGCCAGGAATAGCTCCAATAAACCCGCTGCCGACTCGGGGAATCGGTGGCCGATGGTGAGTACGAGAACACGGCGGCCGGGCCAGGATACCGGGAAAGGTGTTCGCGGAACGCCCGTGAGCCGAAAGTCAGCGTCATGGTGACTGCAAAGCTGGCGACGAGGCGGTGACGGTCCGTGAGATGGAATGGGACGGGCCTTCTACGTCTCTGCGGCGCACCTTTTCCATCACCCTCGCTTTGTTTCGGGATAATGACGAAGACAAAGAAGACGATAGGCCGCAAGCCGTTGGGGATTGGGGAAGTTGGACGGTTTGGAGCGATGCTGCAGATAGAGCACGTAAAGGATACGGTAGTTTAGTTTCTTCCACTAATGTCAAAATCTGTCATGGGTACGACAAAGGTCCAAACGGGCTTCTCTCAAAACCGGTCGTGTATGCGATGTGAAAAGCTACAAGTGAGGGGACCTGAAGAATCAAAGCCAGGACCGATGCGGGCGAGGAACACTTACAGCGCCCGCAGCTGTCGCAGGTCCCTGAAGTCGGCCTGCCTGATCACCGTCAGATTGTTGTCCTGAAGCTCCCTGAAATGGAAACACGGCGTATCAGCGGCGGCATCGGCCCGGCAGCGCCGCGACATTCCCGGACGTCAGCGGGTGGGGCGACCGCCACCGACCGTCAGCGTCGGCTGGCCGGACTGGGACAACACCGGGCCCAACGGTACTCGCAGGGGCCAGGCACGGCTTAGCGTAACACGAGGCGTTACGGGGTAGACAGCCGCGCCTTGCCCGTGAGAAGATAATGTATTTTTCTTCTTAAGCTGGCTAGCTACAGCCTCTGTATGCAGCTATGCCGGCTGGTTTTTGCTCCGGGTGGCAGACATGCATCAGATAGCGGTAGCACACGGCGCTGCCATCGGCCATCGACCCCCCCCCCCCCCCCCTTCCATCGATTGTGAGCAGCTGCCACCGAATCATTTACGTCGCATTACTGTGATTGATTCGTCAACTGTTGCAGGGTTTTTACGGCGGGCCGCGTGAGGCGACGTCGGCGGAGGGGGGATGACAGCCGCCGACAATGGCACGCCCCGGTCCGACGCCGCACCAAACCCGTCCGCGCCTCGGCCGAATTAATTACATCTGGTATCGGCATAAATGGCTCGGCCGGTAATCTAAGGGGATGACGGCCGGCTTACGGCCGCGATATTTATTGCCCGCGGCTCCGTAGGAATTACGTGCGCGGGCCGCCGGCAAAAACCCTCCTCGCCGGTGGCGGCGGCGCCGGCCGACCGCCGGGGCGTGTAGGGTTACACGGGGGGGAGGCGGCGGGCGGCGCTCGGCCGCGGTGTCCGGTGCGGCGGCGGCCGTGTGCGGCCCCGCTGCTCACCGATTAGACGCTGCCTTCACGGTGGCCGGGGATGGTGCGGTGCGTCTGAAAAACGACCGGCCCGCGGCCGGCCGCGGACAATGGCGTGTAGCGGTCGCACCGTGACCAGTGACCAGTGGCCATCGTGGCGCAGTGTGCGCGCGCACGTGGCGGATGAGCCGCGCCGGTGCCCCGCTCCGGCTGACACCGGCAGCGGCGGCGCACCGAGCAGCAACACGGCAGGTGCCTAATCCCGGCGATCCGATGCGGCTCCTGAGCGGCGGCCGGAGCCGGCCGCCCCGCGGCTCGCGGCGCATCGCGGCGCGTCGCCTACCCATGCCACGCCCTCCGAGGATAATCATGGTGAAACTCGTGTGACGGCTGCACTTCGGCTAACTGGATCATTCATTCGGCAAATGCAGACCGCGGGAAATTCCACATGCCTCGGGCGCTGCGGTCCGATGGGGCGGCACGCCGCCATGAGACGCTCCACGTGCCGGCGTTCCTGCCCGCCACACGCCGGCGGCACCGGTAGGTTCGCGGCGGGCAGCTCCACCAGGGCCGGCGTCGCAGCGTCCGGCCAACAACAGCGGAGGTCGCCGACTGATCGGGATAAGTTGCGATAACGAGTTGAGCAGCGGCTGTCAGGCCGGCGCCGGCGCGCTGCAGACTCTGGTGAGGCGAGCTGCAGCGGTCCGCCGCGCCCCTGAGTGACCTCCATTGGCCAGGCCCGGGCCAGGCAGGCTCGCCGGGAGGGAGGGGAGGGAGGGAGCCGGGCAGGGACTGGCGGGGCGGACCGTGGCCGGGACGCGTTTACGCATCGAGCTGCGACATCATGTGATGGTGGACTCAGATTCCAGGATAAACTTGAAGTGGGATATTTCTTTTGCACCAGAACTGAACGTTACGATAGGGGGCCTGATGAATCACAAGTGTTTAACATTAAAGAATACTGATACTGGATGCTGAAGGAGAATTCTGACGAAGGATACTGAACTGAACAATCAAATTATACGCGTGTGATCGCGTGTGGCCAGATCATATGGTTCACGTCACAACCATGATCACATCACGTACGCATCAGAAGCAATTTATAAGGTATTATTCTCTTACGACCACGTGAGCAGGACTATCATCACCACGGAAATCAGCCGCTGTAACACGCTTCGAAAACGTCCTCGCGGAGTATTTCAGGAACGCGCCAGACCTGTTCGTGCACAGCGACTACTTGAACCAAAAACAAAGACAAAAACAAAAATGTCCGAGCCTCAGAGCTCGACGGCGCAGTCCATTTCCACCATCCACCGGCGCCAAGGGTGCATCCAAGACCACCGCGGCCAGGCCACCAGTGCGGCACAATCAATAGGTGTGGCGACAGCGAGGCGGCCGGCCGGCGCCTGCCCCCTCCGGCGCCGCCAGCAGCGGCGCCGGCCGGTCATCAGGACCACCTCGCCGGCGACCCCCCCCCCTCCCTCTACCCCCTCCCCCGCCTGATCGCGATCGCATCGCGTCGCGGGACACCGTTCGCCCCGCGCGCGGACCAGCCCGCTCCGCCGTGCCCTGCGAGCGCCGCCGCGCGCCGTCAGCGAGGCTCACGCGCGGACGAGTTCATCTGACTTGTAAATAACGCGGCCGCCGCGGCTGGTCGGTGGCAGCGATGGAGTTGTTTTGGCGGTCGGTCCGCCGGCGCACAATTACACCCGGAAACGGGGCCTGCCGCTGCATGTGTTCAGGGGCCCGGCCAAGTCATAATCGCTGAGTGGCCGGGACGCGCCGACGGGGCGGCCGTGAGAGACAGAGCCGTGCTTTCGTTGGCGGCGCTCGCTGTCGGCAGCCGGGCCCCCGGTTAAGGACAGGCGATGTGCCAAAGTCTGCGCGGGGGAGGCCGCTCATGCAGCTGACCCGGCGCCGACTCAAGCCGACCCTGACTCCCAAGAATTGCATTTCTGGACTCCAATTCATTGAAGTTTTGAGTCTTGGCGATTCGGATTCCCGGTGACTTTGAATTTAGCTGACTCGTACTTTTGGAAAATCCGACCGTGATCAGTTCTGATTTCACGTGCCACCAACCCCAGGTGACTCCGACTCCAAAAGACCCGCGTCTCACGCCCTCGGACTCCGGACGCCTCTGACTCCACGCCGAGCCGCCTGCGCGTCGAGTCGAGTCGAGCCAGTTCGCGTGCTGAGTCGCCGGCACGAGGTCCCTGGTCGCGGCGCCGTTTTAATCGAGCTCGGGCCCGCTACCAATCGTTAGTGTGAGTCATGGCGGGCGGCGATCACGACATGTCGTGCGCCCCGACACCGGCCCGACGACGCCGCGGGCCGCCGCAGCGCTGGACTAGTCGGACGACTAACGAGCGCTGGACGAGTCGGAGGACGAACGCCTGCTGGACGAGTCGGACGACGAACGAGCGCTGAACGAATCGGATGACGGACGAGCGCTGGACGAATCGGACGACGGACGAGTGCTGGACGAATCGGACGACGGACGAGTGCTGGACGAGTCGGACGACAAACGAGCGCTGGACGAGTCGGAGGACGAACGACTGCTGGACGAGCCGGAGGACGGTGGGTCTCTGTCTTTCCGAGCCGGACGACGGCGAGTCGCGGTGCTGAACGAGCTGAGACAGACGAGCCGGCTGACTAAACGCCGTACGAGCACGAGCAGGAGCGATTTGACGTCATACGCGTGCGCGATCTGACACGAGGACCGGCCGACCGGCTGGCGCGACAGGCGGACAGGACAACTGCGCCACCGAGGCTTCACGCGGGGTGGGCTTTACGGGTGCACCACGGGCTCGGAGCTCGGACCCGTCGGTGACGGAGCGAGAAAACGCAGCAGCTCCATGAATGGCGCCAACGGAAGGCATCGAACGGCGCGGGCAAACTCGCTAGATAGGCTCTGGTAGGAAGGCTGAGCGACTGCGATAAACGGGCACTTCAGTGGCTTAAGGGCACTTATTGGCTCCGTTATTGGGATCGTTCCGTACAGCGCTGCCGGCTACCTCAGCCTACTCTCAACAATCGGATAAGTGGACCATGGGATTGGATCAAGAACTGGGGCAGCAGTTCGCCGCTAGGAGTACCCCACTAAACGCTTCTGTGCTAACTACCGTGTGTGACATGCGCACGCAATAAACCACATTGGACTTAAGGAGCCCCAATGTTTCTGCTGTAATATCCGCAGTTGAGTATGCCAGGGTGTATGGGACGTCCAATGTAGTTGCTGGAGGCGTGGGTATAGGCTGAACGAGGATCACTTTAACGGTGATATATTTATCTTGAGCGACCCACCCCGGTAGCGGCCCGGTCTGAAAGCTCATTCCTTGTGACAAGTGTTCGCAAATTGATGCGTTTTGCAGCAAGAGGCAAAGTTTTTTTCAATCTTTGCTTCATGGTTCGTGAAAACTGCATACAAGTGTTTCGATTCGTTTTTTTCTGAACCCTTACAACGTGGATAAAATACGGCTTGCACCATACGATAAGCATGGAAAAACGGAATGTTAAATTACGAAAGAGGCGCACATGACAGCTCAAAACCGGCCTAGTCATCAGTGAGCGGACGTCATGGCAACGCCGTACCCGCATCGGCAGAAGTGCGATTCGATTGGTGCAGCTCGTCGCGAGTCCGAGCCTTCAAGATGCCCGCGTCTTGCATTTTGCCAGGATTAGAGCTAAATCTCGGCTGCCGCAGCCGACAATGGTGGTAAAAGCATAAGGCCCTCGCAGGTGAACATTCCGTCACGCAGCAACATCAGCGCCGCTCGGTCCGCAGCGACACCAGTAGCTGACAGGGAAACGGACAGCACCGCCTTTTTAAAAAAGCGGCAGTGAGATTGGCCGGGTTGTGAACCGAGGGGATTGATCATGACAACCAAACAGGTGATAACCCGGCTCATTGTTATCAGCAGCCATCCAAAACATTTGCGTTTGTGCAAGACTGGTCGTGGTTTTCGGAAACTTATCATTCCAAATTCATTCATTTTGCGGACTGCAATATAAAGGCCCGGCTTGGCCCATAACTAGCCAATTTTCAAGTGACGGAGCCTTTCATTAGCTCACAAACGCTACATCAAGGAATCCTGTTACTTGCTAAACTACCATAGGACACGACAATCCAATACAATAACTGGACCATCTGTATGAATACATTAAGACATCTGGATCCGTTTCCTTGGGTTTTGGCATTATCTAAATTGTGATAGCATTCGCATGCGTT